ATATTCATTCTGCTGATACCATTATTGGACCTAACCAAGTGAGTTATAAGATCAAGAACACATATTCCTGCGCATCCAGAAATATAATTTATGCTATCATGTGCCGAAAGTGTCCGTCTGCTATGTACACCGGACAAACGTCTCAGACACTTCGCCAAAGGATCAACGCCCACAACAGATATTAGACAGGATCACAAAGAAAAAACAGTTTCTTGCCATTTCAACCAGAAACGACATTGTCTCAACGACTTGATTACCTGCATCCTGCTTCAAAGACCTTTTAAGACTACACTTGAAAGAGAATCCTCTGAACTGTCATTCATGCTTAAATTGGACACTTTACGCCTTAGTTTGAATAAAGACGCTAATTATCTTACCCATTACAAAGATAGCTTTCCCAATTATCACCTCTAATATCATTAGCTTGCAGACATTTACCTCCCCCCCAATCCCCTTATGTTCTGAAATTTGATTTGTCCTTTTCATATGTGTTCATTTTTTTAATTGTATCCTATGGTATAAATGGTCATGACAATTTTCTTCCACTATTTGATCTGAGGAAGTGGGTCTGGCCCACGAAAGCTCATCACCTAATAAACCATCTTGTTAGTTTTTAAAGTGCTACATAGTCCTATTTTTTGTTTCAGCTACACTAGACTAACACAGCTACATTTCTATCACTATACTGTGAAGTGAATTCTGTTAACTCAAAGAGGCTCCCACAGTTAATTATCACATTCAGATGTAAAGATGGAGGTAGTGACTCCTTAGAAAGACAAGCTAGTATATGAAACAAAAGAACCTATGTAGCACTTTAAAGACTAACAAGACGGTTTATTAGGTGATGAGTTTTGTGGGCCAGACCCATTTCCTCAGATCAATTTGTGGAAGAAAATTGGCACAACCATATATACCACAGGGATACAATAAAAAAAAGTGAACACATATAAAATTGACAAATCAAATTTTAGAACAGAGTGGGGGTGGGGGAAGGGGAAAGTTAATGTCTGTGAGGTAATATTAGGGGTGATAATTGGGGAAGTCATTACCTCACAGACATTAACTTTCCCCTTCCCCCACCCCCACTCTGTTCTAAAATTTGATTTGTCAATTTTATATGTGTTCACTTTTTTTTATTGTATCCCTGTGGTATATATGGTTGTGCCAATTTTCTTCCACTATTTGATATGAGGAAGTGGGTCTGGCCCACGAAAGCTCATCACCTAATAAAACCATCTTGTTAGTCTTTAAAGTATTACATAGTTCTATCTTTTGTTTCAGCTACATCAGACTAACACGGCTGCATCTCTATCACTGAGCTAGTATATGGTCTTAGTAGTGGGAGGGCGAGGAGGAAGGGAAGGAAGGAACCATAGGAACAACCACATCTGAGGAAAAGACATGGGCTGCACTCAGTTATCTTATTGTTATTTTCTGTGCTAATGAAACAAAACCCCAGGAAGGGGGTAAATTTGAATTATGCATAAAAAAGGATTATATTTGAGAGCAGCTTGGGAAGGGATCCTGCTTGGAGAACTCAGAAATACTTCATGTTTCTGTGGTTCATTCGCAAATTGCTCTCCAAACATTAATAAATGTAGCCTCACAACACATCACTTAAGCAGTTTACAGATGAGAGAACTGAGGCAAAAGAAAGTTAAATAACTTGTCAAAGGCCACACAAAAAATTTGTGGTACAGCCATGAATATAGCTCAGGTCTCACCTGCCAGGCCTGTACCTTAACTGCGAAACTATACCATATTTCCTCTTTTCACACGTGCATTAAAGAAAATTTTTAAATTAACAACAGCTTCAGATTAATGTCAAAGTAACATAACTTCAGCAATTTCAATAACCACATACGCTACAGGGGGAAAAAAGGAAAGAAAGATTTGGTTACGTCCTCTGTGGAACCAAGTGAAACTGCTGACCAAATAAAATTCACAGTTCCCAGGAATGGGAATATGGTGAAGCGGGTGAGGCGAAACAAAGTTTAAAATTACATTTACCATTCTGGAGAGCACTGTCAATTGTGCCAGACAGTCTATATTCCTAACCATCCCAAAGTGAGATTTCATGGGACCTTGTAACATGTTAGTAAGAGGAATCAAGGGAAATAGCAGTTGCCAGCTATAACATACATGTGCACTCTGAAAAAAGGGATTCAGGACTTTTTGCTATGTAAAAAATGAGTCTGTAATACTTGGATAAAAGATATTCTTTAACTATGGTCAGTACTAATGCTCATCTTCTTTCTGTAGGCCACTCACTCGGGGTTGCATAATTATACCCCAGTCAGGCTCACGTTCTATTCAGCAGAGGACAGTGGCTCCTGTAGGCCAGTGATTCTGGAATTATGGTCCCTTCCAGGTGGCCTGTGGCTCAAGCTCAGCCTGCCCCCTTGTAGTGGGGAGCTGACACTCCAGCTTGCACCCTCCTCCCCCACAACACTGGAGCACTAGCGTCAGCTTCCTGCTGGGGGGAGGGAGGGGAGAAAGCCCTGAGCCTTACTGCACGATATGGCTCGTACGGAAGAAGGAGAGCCATAAGAGGCTCTGCATGCTGCCCCGTCCTCGGCTGCGGGAACAGCATTGCATGGATGTGCTGCCAGGAGGCTTTCCCTGCTGCTCCCATTGGTCGGAATCCGGCAAATGGGAGCAGCAGGAAGCCATGCCTGGGACAGGATGCCTGGGAGTGGAATGGCTCCTGTACCCTACCTCCAAACCAAACCTTGCACCCTCACCCCTTCCTACATCCCACCTCTTGCCCAGATCTTGCACCCCCCAACCCCATCTCGCATGTTGGCAGCCCCAGCCAGCACAATGAACCCCTCATTTTGGTACCCACCCAAAGCCTAGGGGAGTCCACAAAATCCACTTAGCCTGGAACCCCTGAAAAGTAAATCTGGCCTATGAGAAGCTCTGAACCTCAGTCCTCCCCCTTGCCCCATGGGGCTGGAGTGCCAGAGGAGTCTCAGCTGGGGGCCACATCAGTGAGGGTTGGGGGTTCTGGGAGGGGATATTTTGCTTCTCACTTGTGTGGTCCCCAACTGATTTTTCTGTGGGTCAGTGGCCCCTGACACAAAAAAGGTTCCCCACCCCTGCCATAAAGAAAAAATTGAACCCCTTTGTGTGGGACATAAATTAATATTTTACTTTATTTAAAAGGAAGTTTGATAAACATGAGAAAGTGAAAGCACTTAATTTGTTTAATGATTTAAATTAATATTTCCTTCCTTCTGGTTAAATTAAACCAGTCTCCCTAGCTACAGCACTAGCAAAATGGCTCGGGTGTAATTGTGCAATTAACTGTGAGTTTCCATTAGCAAATGATAGTCCGCAGAAAGGTTTGCATTGAGCCAGGTAGGTGACAGGCTAAAAAGTTTCAGAACCACTACTATAGACACATGATAAGTTTGTCACTTATAACTGATTACTACTGCTCAGCACTAAATAACAGATTTAAGTTAAGTCTACACTGGCATTTTACCGTGCTGTAACTTTCTGGCTCAAGGGTGTGAAAAAACATTCCCCGCCCCACCGAGAACAGCAAGTTACAGAGCTGTAAAGCACCAGTGTGAACCAGGCTACAGTGCTGGGAGTGGCACTCCAAGCGCAGTTATCTACTCCGCTTGTGGTTTTGTCAGAAAAATGGCGATTTTTCTGACAAAACTTGAGGAACGTCCACACTGCAATTGTGTTCTTCCACAAGAAAATTGAAAGAAGAGAGGGTTTTTCTTGGTAGCGGTAATCCTCATTCTATGAGGAAGAAGCCTTTTTGCGAAAGAGCTCTTTGGCAAAAAGGCATGTGTGGACGGGGAAGAGAGAGTGGAAGAAGAGGAAAAAGCACAGGTGTCCTGGTGGCCATTCCATCCACAGCAATCACAGCTTATATGTGAGAGACTGTCCATTCAGTCTGGATGCTCTCTTTCGAAAAAACAGATCACTTTTTTGATGCACTTTTACAGTGTGAACACTCTCTTTCGGAAGATTTTTTTCGGAAGCTCTCTTCGTCTAGATGTAGCCTTAGAGTGCTAGAGAGATATTTTCCAGTGCTCATGCAGTGGCTGTACTTGAAACTTTCAAGTTTAGATAAAGCTTTAGTAACTAACACTAATGCAATCAACACACAAAGGCTATGTCTATACTGTGCATTGTTATGCAAGAAGATATGCAAATGAGGCACAGGAATGAATACTGTCACACCTCATTTGCATACCTAATGAGCTGCCATTTTTGTGGAAAGGGGCTTTGAGCAAGAAGGAGCTGCCTACATTGCTCCTTCTTGCACAAAAAACTCCTCTTGCGCAGGAGCCGTTCTACCGTTTATTTTCAGGAAGAACGGCTCCTGAGCTCCTTGCGCAAAACCCTCTTCCGCAAAATGGCGGCTCATTAGGTATGCATATTAGGCACAGCAATATTCATCCCCGTGCCTCATTTGCATATCTTCTTGCGCAACAAAGTGCAGTATAGACGTAGCCAAAATGTATGTCTAGATAGGACACCATAAGCAACACTATCTCTTTTGTTCCAGATTTTTGTATAAACAGGATACTGAATCTCACTGGTTTGTCATAATGAACTCTATTTGGGTATAGACCTACTATTTTGTCACTGGAATAAGAAAAGATACATTTCCCCTAAGCCCTGTTGTCAAAACTGTTCAGATTACATTAGCCGTTGATTGAGTGCACTTAACAGACCCAATTCTTCTGTATATAAGTCTTCACACAAATTGGTGTCCCTGTTTCTCTACTTTTTTTCCTGGGTAATTGATAAATAAGTAACAGTCAGCTTCCTGATGTGCTGTTTATTACTCAACCACTAGACACCACAATCAAAGCCCCTCCTATCTTTGGAAACAGCGGAAAGACAACAACAATGCTCCCTTATACAAGTGCATACCCATCAATTACTAGTTTTATTTCCTGAACTAATCCAGATGTTGACTCTCAGAGACAACAAGGAGCAATTTCTCTCTAGGGCACCACATGATCTCTAAAGTGCCAAGAATCCACTTACGAAAGGCTTCAATACTGAAAACTTATTACTGTATGAACTTGTTTTCTCAATCCGATGTCTAATTGTTATCGTAAATGACACATAATGAAACCAGCATGCAACATACCATGGCCCTTTCTCCATAAAGGAAGAGCATTCTGTACGAAAGAGATACACTATCACATTATATGTGGGACAGAAAAGCAAGCTCCTTCTCTGTTATAACAACTTGAAGCAGGGGTGGGAAATAATTTTTGCGTGGGGGGCCACTTAAAATTTTTTTGAAGTAGCCCTGGGCCACCTTGGAAGGGGCGGGGCCTAAACAGGAAGGGGCAGGGCTACCCCGTCCCCAGACCACGATTGCCCACCCTTCCCAATAGGCACTCATGTCCTGGAAGAGGCTTGGCACGCTCCCTCACGCCAATCAGCCAATCAGGGCCTGGGGACAGGGAAGCACCCAAAGCCTCCTCCCGCCCTGCGAGGAGCACTCTGAAGTGCAGTGGGCTACTCGCTTACTGGGTCAGGGCGAAGGAAGCTTCACGCAGCTCCCCCCGCCCCCAGACCCTGATTGGCCTGGGGGTGGGGGAGCACACGAAGCCTCCTCCGCTCTCCCCCCACCCCTGAAAGCAGCATGTGGAGCTTCCAATTAAAGCCTGGTGGGGGGAGGGGGGGAGGAAGCTTTGCACAGCTTCCCCGCCCCCAGGCCAATCAGTGCTCTGTAATCAGCGCTGCGTGCGGCTCATAGGGTGGGAGGAAGCTGTGTGCGCTCCCCGGCCCCCAGACTCTAATTGGCTTGGGGGCAGGAGAGCAGCAGGGCCTCTGCGGGCCGGATCCACCTGCTTGGCGGGCCAGATTTGGCCCACGGAGGCCTGTTTGCCCACCCTTGACTTACAGCATGTCTTTGGGGAATGATACAAGATACACATGGCCTGGTTTTGAAAGCTGTTGACTTGGATGGGAGTTCTGAGCACTCAAGACCTCTAAAAATCTGACTAGCTAACCCTCATAACATGGACTGATCTGACTGTCAGCAAAAGGAAGCTTGACAGGGAAAAGGAAGCTACATTTATAATCTCCAGAGGGTTAATATCCTTGTACAAAAAGACTTCCTTCAAACATTCCTTCTCTCTTTTCTGTTTTGTATACTTAAACTGTGAAGCAATGCTGATTTGATTGTTTAATTTTATTCTTTATTTGGCAATGGATGAAGTTTATATTAAAATTTAATATTTAATAACATGCTTTGCGTGCAATTTGGAAATAGATTTGCATGTAATTTGCAAAAATTGCATACTTGGAAACACCACCTTTCCACACACATAATGAAACCTGTTAAGTATAAAGGACCAAACTTTTTGCTGATTTACATCTTGTGTAACACTATTAACTTCAATGGGATCTCAGGCACTAGGAGGCAGTGCAAAAGCACAAGGGCTTTCTAATAGATGGCATGGACATACATGGATCGTGGGAGATGCCAGGTTTAGAAGGCTGATCTTCTAACGTTTCTAAGTAGGAACAAATGTTAACTCTTCCATCCCTGCAAAGATGGAAACTGTGAGAGGGAACTTGTGACTCTTCCAGTCCTTGACACAGGCTTCTTCCATATAAGAGACGGACTCTATGAATGGCCCTACATAAACTGAGGTTATGTCTACACTACCAGGTTATTTTGAAATAAGTTATTTCAAAATAAAAACTCCAGAAATAATTATTTCAAAATAAAATTATTCCTCTTCATAAGCAGGAGTTTTTATTTCAAAACAACAGGCCTGGTAGTGTGGACACTCGCCTTGTTATTTCGAAATATGTAGACATGCCCCGACTTCTACACTTACCCAGTAACCTGCAATCTGCTTCCGCTACTCCAGCTGTACATGCCTCCTCCTTATTATCACCACCACAAACTCTGGAGTTACTTCTCTCTGGGATTTCCACTTTTTGGTTGTGTTTCACATCTGGTTTGTTGTCCTGTTTATTGCAGCTTTCCTCACCCTGTTCAGTAGTATTGTCTGAAATTCCTAAAAAACATCAATGAAAAGCATGAGACTTTGGATATCATGATTGTTTTGTACAAATGATAATATTTTGTGGGTCTCATTCACACCCTCATGAAATCAAAGGAAAGATGCTGAATTACTTTACTCTGCACTGGATCAGTTCCTGTATCATTAAATGCTATAGAGTCACTACACTCAAGTTCACTACCCAGAGAGAAACATATGGAAACGTAACTCTTTCTGAAGTTATTTAACATGTTCACTTTACCAACCCTCATATTAAAGGATAAAATTAAATAAACTTATTTTCTGAACAAACATCGGAATGAATTCTGATCTTAGTTGCAATGTTACACGTCTGCAGTATTGCCACCAAAGCCAATATAATCATTCCAGATTGACACTGGTATAACTGATAGTAGAATTTATCCCACAGATGTTGCCAGACAATAGGAGAAGGAAAGCACAGCTGGGACCAACTCACTAGAAAGGAGAGGAGAAGGGGCAGGGACCATGCAGTAACTTTTAAAAGGGCTGCTGTAGATCACTCTTGCCCCAGATCAATAAGGCACTGCTGCAAGTAGAGACGTAAAGGGCTAACCAGTTACCCAATAAGCACTACCTTACCGCCATGCTGTTTAGGCTAACTAGCAAACCAGCGCCCAGCCGGAGCAGCCCCCCCAGCCAATTAACTCGTTAATATTTTAAATGAGAAAGTTTACAGCCCTAACTGTGAGGCATCTATTCACAGAAATAGGGTGCTTCCCAGTGCTCTCTCTGAGGTGCTGTTACTTTGAACACCATCTACCCCACAGCTTGGGCTTACTACATGTACAAACATGTCTCGTGCTTGATGTGTACTCATTTAATATTCATGTCATGTGATATCACCCCACACAGTTTTTCTGAAGCCTGGAATTTTTCATTTTCAGGGAAAATGAGTTCTCCCGAGGTTACTAAAGTGGCCTCTCCAGGCCAATAAAGACAAACACCACAGTTCATTGGCCAATTCTCAGGTCCTGGGGAAAACTTTTGGCTGCTTATAAACATCAACTCCAGTCAAGAGCATATATTTTTGGCCATTAAAATGTTGGCATTTGCCAATCTAATTATTGCCTGTTCTAATCCTAGGGGTAACCGTAGTATTTGGGACAGCAGTGAGGTGTTTTGTTGGCTAAGGCTGACATTTAATGATCACTGTAAACACATGTGAGTATTTACACACACATTTTAATCCTGTCTGAGTCCAGTTTGGAGTGACCAAGCATCATTGCTTTGGTAGCCATTAACATAAGTTACTGATTAGTGAAGCAAAATGGTAAACTAAAGATTATTGTTGGAATCTGGCTACAGGCAGTCCCTGGGTTACGTACAAGATAGGGACTGTAGGTTTGTTCTTAAGTTGAATTTGTATGTAATTTGGAACTGGCTCCAGATTCAGCTGCTGCCACTGAAACTGACCAGGGGCTGACTACAGGAAGCCCGAGGCAGAGTTGCTCTACCCCCAGCTTCCTGGAATCAGCCTGATCAGTTTCAACAGCTGCTGAATCTGGAGCCTGGGACAGAACAGCTGGGGCGCTGCCCGGTAGGTTCCCACAGGACCAACCCGGCAGCACCCCAGCTGCTCTACCCGAGGCGTCCCGCAACAAAAGCCTGGTCTGCTGGGGGGAGGAGGGAGGGCGCACTAGCTGCGCCTCCTCCCCCCCCAGCAGACCAGGGAGACCCGAGCAAAGCCGCACAGGCGGGGGGGTCCCCTGCCTCTGCAGCTTTGTTCCTGTCTCCCCGCTGTGCAGCTTTGTGCGGCTTTGCTCCGGGGCAAAGGAGCAAAGCCGCACAGGCAGCGGAGTCCCGCCGCCTGTGTGGCTTTGCTCC